TTAGCAGGTTTCCGTTTTGGACAGTTTTCACTCTATGTACTTTATTATTATTTTTTATTGTTTCATAAATTAAATAGTGTTTAATGCTATTAATCACTCCTGTAAACCAAACTAATTTAGTAGTTAAATAATGAATGTACTGTACAGTAAGTACATGATGATTTAGCCTATTATCAATACGTAACACAATATAACATAAATTTATTCATTTTTAATTCCTGGTTATCGATAAGGAACTTTGTTCATCAACATCGCAAGAGGAATTTCGATTAGTAAATACAATGCCACAAGTCTTTTGAATGTTAATAGATAATTTATAATAATATAAATAATAAAGTACTGTATTTAGTTTTATTTCTTGGCACAAATTACATACCGATCATGAACTAAGGGTGATTATTACACGTATATCGTTGCACGCATAGTAATTTTTTATCCATGTTATTCAATCACTTGTATAATCATATAATACGGACCTTTAAAGAACACTTCTACGCAGTCAAATAAAGAAATACTACACCAATAAATTTGTTTTTATCTAAGTTTTTAGTTAGATAAGTATGATAATAAATCAGAACGTCTATTGTTGATGTCTTTTTGTATAGGAGAGAACCAACTATATTTATCATAAAATGACATGTTTTTATAATGTAAAGTGGAGCGAATTTTTTATTTTTAAGAAAGTTAAAATGCCTCAATCCTCAAATTGAGGCATTTTAACTTGCCTCCTCAATCCTCATAAAACTTGATGCTTATAAGTCTACGGTATATCTAGTTTAACAGAAAGTTTTGTCTAAGTTTTGTCACTATTAACATTTACGATATATTTAGGTTTAAATATACACCTCTTTTTTTTTCTATTGATATATTGCCCCTTTAATGAGGGGTAATATGGAGTGAAAGAAGGTCACACCACACGGGGTTTGTCCTTTGTCCACACGGGGAAGTGGAACAGGATTCAGAAGAACAAAAGAGAGGTCTAAAGTTATGTGGTTTAATGTTAACAATGTCTCCTGTTTTCAAAATTAACTATTATTATGGAGGTACAGAAAAATATTAAGCTCAAAAGGGGCCAGAGGTAAAAATGGTAGAGAAACACTGGTCTAGATCGTATAGCTGTGTGACGTCAGACATTGGGGCCGTTTTAGTTTTACACGTACTCCATTTACAATTTCTTCCAGAGATAAAGGCCTAATTTTTATAATAATACATCATATTTTGCTAATAATAGTTTAGACAAATTTAATGTTATATATTTATCATTTGCATATAGGCTACAGTATGTATAATTACTAATAATTTCTAAAAGCGATAAATTTATAATGATCTAAATTCTTATTTTATTAATAAGTTATCTTGTTCACTTAACTAGCAGAAAATTCCAAATAACCACACTACATTAATATTTTATCCTGACTATGGCCCTCCAAGGGAGCCACAGACCAAAAGTTGATTTTGGTCTGTGGCTCCCTTGATGTGGTTCATTGTTCCAAGGGATCACATGACCTCCAGCTGAGACACACTGAACTAGATGGCCTTGGTCCAACCAATGCTTTATCAAAGTAATCATAGCTTAATTAAAGGCAATATGTGGTGTTCAAATGGCTCATGGTGCTGCAGAATTTTATAGTTTTATGAAAAACTTGTATAATCAATGTATGTTTTATTTTTGATATGTGCACTTATTGTTCTTTGGACTTCTTTCGAAAATAATTTATTTAATAACCTCTAAAAAATTTTCGTGGCACACGAGCACTAATTCTAAATTATTCCACTGTGGTAAACAGCGCTAATATCCGGAAATTGTTTTATAGATATTTTCTGGTGTATTATGGCTGTGTAAATCGAGTTCTCACCGCCTAAACCGACCTTCATCCACCTTTTCTGTTCATAATAACACTTTCATTTTTCTTTTTCGTTACTTCTACCTACGTCGATTTTGATGAATAATTCATTCAAAAAATATATAATTTTAAAATTATATTTACTTAATTACTGCGACAATGGTATAACGAGATAGACACATTACATCATTACTGTTACGGGTAGCACAGAGCACTCATGTGCGTTCAGAATCAAAGTATTACACTGTGAAAACTACATACTTATTTAAGTTTATTTNAATAGTCTTCGTTAGGTTTAACATCGACAAAAATTCAACGCGAAGCGACCCGCAACGAAGAAAAATTTCAACACGGGATAAATTAATATATTTTTCCGTACATAATTGGTTATCCGAAAAATAAGTTATCCGAACAACCCCAGTCCTCAATTGATTCGGATAAACGACGCTCTACTGTAGTTATTTTTTCTAGAGTTTTTTCCATGATGGTCCTTGATGGTTTTTAAGAATTTAGTGTCCACAAAGTGTGGTACATTCTCAGGAACAGTTGCCATAAAAAATAAATATTTTTCCAAAGCCTTCAACATTTTAGCAAATAAAAAATAGCTTACTTGTCTTAACTCTTAATGAGTTTTTTTACAAAAAAAAAATGTAATATAACAATTTTTCTTCATTTTAATGAATCTCATTTAGTAATTTTAATTTTACAAAAGACAAAAAATATTTTTTTTTGTCTTTTGTAAAATTTACGCAACATAACACGGTTTCACAACAAATGAACAAAAAATATTTTTTTAAAAACACATATATCATAAGTATTATTATATCTCAAGATCCTTTTTTCACATTTTGTAGTAAAACAATACAGAAAACAAGTTAAAACCAGTAATAACAGATTGTTGTTGGTAAATTATTGGTAAAGATCTCAGTAATGTTAGAACACCAGTGACTTCCTATGACATTTAGTACTCCATCGTAATGATGAAAGGAACCTTAAAGCACAAGAGATCCTATAACCCATTGTATTGCATTTCCTAGAATGACAGTAAGGAGTAATTTTTCATTAAGATTTTACTTGTTCATATATTAATCATGCTTCCAAAGATTGCTTTCATTGTGATCAAACTATCTTGGACTGCATTTTCTTCAGATCTTTCCCCAATTGAACATGTCTTCAATCTGCCTGAATATCAACTGAAGCCAACACAGAATCTTCAACATCTTAAGCAACAGCTGGAACATTGCTTAGAAAATTCTGCAACATAACAACATTGTTGTTCTTGTGTACAAAACCTTGTTGGGCTCCTTGCCATGTATTTCCCTTGTGTATTGCAGCCAGAGGTAGCTTTACTACATATTGGATATGTATAATCTTCACAAAATGTGAGTGTTTGTTTTGAAATCATAAGCAATTTTTTATATAATATATATCTCCTTATTGAATCCACACCATGAAGATAAAACACTTACTTCAGAATGTTTCAAAATTTACGTCAGAAAGTAATTCCTTTCCTGTATAATTCTCTTTCCCATAATATTTAATTATACGTATTGTATTATATACTTTAATTAACATTTTGTAATCATAAATACAAATAATTTTTTTCTTTACACATCATAAAGTATAGCACTTACCAAACATTGGAGTAAAACTACATGCAGCAATATAGGGTCCACTTAATAATAATCCAAGAACAGTAATAACTGGTAATGAAAGCTCACAAAAAATTAATTTTAAATCAATTCTTCTAAAACCTCCTTGATATACCTGAAAAATTGATAAATCATGCTAAAATAAAAGAAATGCACCTTTAAAATTATTTGAAAATGCATACTATTTAAACTAATATTGAATTATTAAAAAAATATATTAAAAGCAAATAACCACAATAAATTTTTAAAATTGTTAACCTAAGTTACTGTTTTAATTAAATTTTCATTGAGCTCATGTTACATTACAAACATGATACAAAACAAACTTTTTATAAAGATACTAGCTGTAAGGACCCGCTTCGCTGGGTTTTTATTTGTTCGTACATTTGTATGTAATATAGTTTTTTTATATATATATAAAAGACTGTTTTTCTAAGTAATCTAGAATCTAGCTGCAAGGACCCGCTTCGCTTGGTTTTTAAAAAGTAACAATAGTGAAGATTAAGATAATTACATTATAGCCAATCTTACCCGTTTTCACAGAATGCAAGAATTAGGTCTCCCGTTTCCAGACTAATTAGAGAATTTTTACGTTTAGTCAAACGAACTGGAACGTTTACAATCGTTCTATAATCGAACCAATATTCAAATTTTATGTTCAAATTTAATTCGAACAAAACATTCGAAATAGAAAGCCACTTTCAACCACTTTCAGCCTCATATCTCCCGCACCCTTATAGCTATCGAGACGCAACCACCCCTATGCACGAATGGAGACTTGGGGCTACCACCACATACAAACAGCATTCATGTGCGATGTGTAGTTTTTGCGGAAAAGTGAAATATAGGGACACACACGTCCATATATATATATATAGATATAGATATAGATGACTACTCGAGATATGATACACGTTTCCCTTTATCTCCTCCTTCCTTTAACCACCATTTAATAGCATCAATCCCCAAAAATATCTAAGAGAAAAATTTATCTGTAATACCAAGTTTTATATCTATTCCTATTCTTCAAAGTATTAAACTCAAAGTATCGTTTCTCGTATAGGAAATAATAGAGTACAATCCACAACTTTCTGATATGTCCATGCGTCTGTCTATCCTCTATATTCGTCGATTATCTCCGCAAATATTAATTTACTAACACTTCCTTTCTGTTCTGTTTTCCCGTAATTATCAATAGAAAATTTATACTTTTATAACTCAATTCTCTACGTTTCCGTGCTCTGAAAATGAAAAAAAAAAAAAAAAAAATTCCTTTTTCCGGGATATTTACCTGCCTTATTTTCCTGAAAGCTGGTATTAGATTTTCGTACTTATAATTCTGTAAATCTTAATTTTAAAAAAAAGCATAAAATATATGACACAAGAAACACGTTTCCTGCCTTTTTTTTTTGTTTGTACTCATTAAGAATTACCATAATTGTTATTTATTTAATAATTTTGAATAATAATTATATTCTACAAAGAAAACAATTTTATTAACATGTTTAAAAATGAATTAAATTCAAAAACGATTTACATTTATATAAAAATGATTATTTACAATTTAAAATTGAATGTGATACAGTAAATATTAGTTATGTCTGACTTCAAACATTCACAGAACACATTGATTACGTTTTAGTATTGTATTATACTTAACTGATTATAATACACATTGAAAAATCCCCCCAAAACTTATTTTTTTAAATGATAAATAAACATGAAAATCTTCCAAGTTTAATTGGATTATTGAATAGTAACAATGAATATAACTTGTATTCATTTTTCGAATTGACACTCTCTTTTCTAACCATTCTGATGAACTTTTCTAATCAGTTAATTAATTAAACAGTGTTAATCAGACGAATACAAATCTTCTAACAAAGATCTGGTGATGGAAAAATCTGGCAAACTAGCATTACTGGGTAGTTTAGTCTTGAACACGTCTTCTTTGTCATCGAAATCTCCACAATCTCTCCAATAAGTGCTATCGGCGCTAGAGTTTCTTCTTTTGTTAGAATTTCTGATATTTACACTTGATACTTGAATGGCATCTTGAGGTTGAGCATACATGTACTGACTTCCCTTTTCTGAATTCCTATTCTTGTCTATCGGTTCGCTATAATTAAATTCAGTTTCGCACGATGGAACTTTTGGCAAGGGAGAATTTGGCTTCTTATGTTTAATGCTGTGAATATCGTCATAGATAATTGTATAATATTCGTTTCCTTCCATTTGTTCCTGCTCGTTACTTATACTCTGATTTCTCTTTTTGATTAAACTTGATTAAAAAACGATATAATAATGATTTATAATATGTTAGATAAATAATTATATATCCAGTAGAATAATATAACTTACCATTTCCTTAAAATTACGAGACATAAAATAACAGTAAAAATAAGAGCTGATGAACCTGCTCCTATAGAAGCGGCTATAACTAAAAAAAAATAATTTAAAAAAAAAATTAGATATATCTAAGTCAAAAACTGTGATATATCTTTATGTAAATGGAGTGAATTAAACTTACTGATTAATTTCGTTTTGGAAAAAGATGACGAATTGTCTGTAATATTTAAGCGTTAACAAAAATATAAACAAAATGGAAGAAAACTAACATTACTTCTTTTACCTTTACACGCAGTAATTATGCTCCAATTTCCATCTGGTAAGCAACTGATCGTTGAATATTCAACGGGTAAAAAATAATTAGAATAACATTTAACTGTGGCATTACGGTCGACTCGTGCTGGCCTTTCATATATCCAATAAGTCCCATCGATATTCGTAGGTAAATCTGGGCAAGTGATTTCTAAAACAGAAAAAATAAGATTATCTATATATGTAAATGTCAAAGTATGTATAAATATACATTTTAGTTACTAAGACAATTGTTTTTATCACCCTCTCCCCACCTAACATCACCAATCTCCCACTCAGTTAAAGAACGAGTAAAGCAGCTAGTTTATTTATACACGTTTTCGCTTCAAATAATTTTAGGGAAGTATTCACAATTGCATTATGTCGTCATATTTTATTTTACAGGAACTCCAACTGCTAGGAAATGACATTACATTTTTAGTATCAGGAATTAATTAAATCGATTTTATTTATAAATATCTATTAGTAGTCATTCGTAAAGTATACTCGAAGCAAAGGTGAATAGGAGTTGCAATTGCCCGTCCTGAGATTTGTGTGTTTAGAGTAATGATTTTAGTAATTTTTACAGTTATAATCGCATACATTTCGCTCCTTGCCAGACGAATGATTCTGCTTTGAGAGAGTATTTGGTCTGACTTTCGAATACTTACGCTATTTTCTGGCCGAATATATCCGAATGCCGAATATTCGACATAACACTAATTAATACATTTATTTGAAAATAACAAATATAACTTTTACCTTTACACTTGAAAGAAACAGGTGTCCATGTATTATTGGCAAGGCACAAAGAAACTGCAGATGGTACCGGTTTATAGCCTCTGATGCATTGCAATTTTGCATTTCCTCCAATTGATTTGCTCGTATAAGTTACTTGACCATTTTCTACCGTGTCGAATTCATCGCATTCAGTCTCTAAGAAAATAATGGTAACAATTAGCCCTACTGATTTGAAATTCGGATAAATTTAACCAGTAACTTCAAATACGGCAACGCGATCTGCCGAGGGGAATGGCTCCTGGGAGAATTTCTACGAGAAACTGATCCTTATTCGGTTATTATAAACATAAAGAAAACCACGACCAGTGGTCAGTGGTTTTATCCACTCGGCCACTGATGAGTTTAAACAATAACAATATCGAAAGTTTAAATATTCAATACTTGTGCAAGTAGTTTCATTTCCACTCCATCTTCCGTGTTGACAATATCTGGTTGATTCTCCTGACATTTTATATCCGTTCTTGCAAGTGTAAATAGCAGCGGTTCCGTAGCGGTAGTTGCTTTTATCCTCGTTATTATATTCGTATCGAATCGACCCGCTTTCCGAAGATATATTCAGTTTGAAACAACTGTAATCTGAATAAAAAACATCATTGTTATCGATTTTATGTATAATTATGAATGTGTATTACTGATAATATGTGTGGATCAAACTCACTTTTTTGCCAATATATTTTTACTTCACAAACACGTCGAAGAGAATCATAAAGTTTGATCGTATTCACTTTTCCAGCCATTACAGTGCAATTAAAATCGTGTATCACGAATATTTTCCTCTTTACTGTTGTTGTCATATTCGATAATTCTGTACAATTTCTCATGGAATTCTTTACTTGATGTGCGACCTTAAAATCTGATAAATTAAACATATACTTAATTATAAGCATTTAACAGGATTATAAATAATATTATGATGATTTATGTATGTATGTCTCTTTAATCCGACATTAAGTTCGGTAGACTATCATTACAGCATTCAGGTTAGACACTTCTTTTATTGTTTTCACATATGCATTTCGGACTTATATAAATGTCAAGTCCCTCTTCAGTGCAATATTAAAAATTGTCACACTTATATGATACCTATGGTTCTGTCTTCTAAAACCACGGTGTCTAACGGGTAACATTGGAAAGATTTTATAATACAGCCCTTAAAAAATTTTTCCAATGTTAAAAGAAGTGTCTAACCTGAAAGCTGTAATGATAGTCTACCGAACTTAATGTCGGATTAAAGAGATATACATACATAGATCATAATAACAGCTACCAAAAGTGATATTTAGAAGAATATTATGATGATTCTTTGAAAATCTAAAGATTTCATTAAATTCGATTTTCCTCGCTTCATATTTATGTAAATAAATACATCAAATATACTTTAGAACAGTGATTCCCAAACTTTTTCCAGCTACAGTCTCATTGGTTTCATAAACTTATACCCAACGCCCCCAACCCTTTGTAAGAGAAAGGCTCGGAAATATTCTTAGAAATGCTTTTCTACGAACCTCACACTTTGTGTCCTTTACCGAACATTGTTCTCCACATTAAACTCAGTATTTCTTCTTACTTGTTTTAACAGAGGAAAAGGAAAGGTTGTCAGTGTTCCCAACTCTCGCCTACGGTCAGCGTTCGATCAGTACCCTGCCTTCCATGCCCAGTTGCTTCTTTTCGCCTCGTAGATTTACTCACCGCCCGCAGGGAGGCGATAGTGCCCACTTTGGGAATCACTGCTTTAGAAAATTATGTGATTGCGAAGTTCATAATATAAGCTTATTTACATACTTTATACAAAAGTCAAAATATCTATCTATATTAGGTAAGGGGTTCTATACCGTTCAACGTATCCGCATGAAATTTGGCACGAATATTCTTCGACACTAGAAAAAATAATATAGGGTCCCCATCTCAACAACCTCTTAAGCCCAAGCAATTTTGTGCTGTTTCATTATTGCAAATACTGTACTTAGGTCAATAAAAGACCATTGTTTGTATCATCCTCTTCCCAATTCAACTTCACCAATCTCCACTATTTCAAAAGCCCGAGCAACAGAGGGCATACACGTGTGCATAAAAACGTTAAATCAATAATGCAAATTGTTCCCTTGTATGATAGATCCGAGAAGATAACATTTGATTATCGCAGAACTACTAAAACACAGGATCATAAGCTAATACGACAAAGGAAACAGTCGTTAGGAGCTAAATTGGGAGAAGAGGATGTTGCGGAAGAACAGCAGTTCCAACTTTAACAAGAAACAGTTTGAATCAATAGAACTTATACAAGAAATCAAAGAAAAATTTGCAATCTTTGAAATAATTTGATTTTTTAAGGGTGTTTCCTGCAGGGTAATGCACAAATGATGCTTCCATGCATAGCTCGTATGTTAATGTACCATATAGGGCGCTGCCAGGATAAACGTAATTTACAATGCCAGTCATCATCAAGATATATCGTACAGTTAGTTATTATTAATTATTTAATGAATGTGTAACTTATAAAACTACAGTGTTTATACATACAAAGTAGTATTAATTTATGGTACTGTACATGTATACATAGACTTATGTACGTGTTATGCGTGGAAGCATCTTTTGTTCGTTAATTTCGAACAATCCTGTGAATTATTTAGCTTTAATTATAAGAAATTTATAATAATATTAAAAATAATAACAAACATAAGAAATATTCAATATTTTTTAAATAAAAATAATGTAGAAAAGTAAAAGAATATGTATTAAATTTATTTATCTATGAAATTATTTTAATATATATAAAAATAAGGGAAAATTCACTACCATTTCTTATAGTTTTTGTGATCACCTTTGTATTCACAAAAATAAAATTAAATAAATTATAAGCTTGTTTTAATTCTAAAACGTTATAACTTACCTTTCATATCATGAACCACTCTCAGAATGACGTAAGAGTTAACATTGTCATCACAATTGAATTGAAATTCAAACGTCTCTTTCTGCAGATTTACACATGTGTTATAGTCTCCATCGGTTAAATGAGTCAAGTTTTTTTTTGTCATACTCAACTTTTTTACATTATTTGTAACTGAAATTTGAAAAAATACTTTAATTATCAACTATTAAAGATCATTTTAAATTTAAAAAAAAATTACACTTCGAACTTACTACAGATTGGAAAAGTGCCATTCCATTTTCCCGAATTGCAAGTTAGAGTTTCAGATCCAATCAAATAAGCTTCAGGATCGCAAGAGAATGTTATTGATTTTTCTGAATCTGTAACATTGTTTTCGACGTATTTTCCATGAAGAGGATTCGCAGGAAGACAGCAATCTGAAATATATATTCCGTTTGAATATAAATTGAGACAGATCATAGCACTAGACCCTATGATGGCCCCTGGCTTCACATTTAACAAGGTTTTGTTATAAGTCTTTCTTGTACCGAAAACGTTTGCACTATATATTTCATAACGCCTTATTGCTGCTGGAAACGTATGCAAAGTTAATGTAATTTACTGATGTGTGGTATGAAATTGGCGGTTATATCAAAGAGTGGCGCAATTTCTATTCTGTAAAAATTGCATTGATTGCATTCACTGCACAACGCACACTGTGACATAACGCAAATGACCTGCGTAAAATTCTGTATTTTAAGACAGCAGGATGGAAATATTAACCTTGATAAACGAGGATCTTTACATAGCCCAATATCCTAAATAGGAGTTCGGATCTGTTGATCGTGGCAGATACGACGTTGGAAATGATCGGCTAATCATTTTCTCGTGCGAAAGCTATTATTGAACTAAGGCTTACACACTTAACCACGCGGCCACTGATGGACTATGCAATACAGTAGAACCTCGAAAACTCGGCCTAATGTGGACCGAAGGGTGGCTGAGTTTGTGAAAATGCCGGGTTATCGGGAATGGGGTTAAAAAAAATAAGTACGAGTGTTTCCTCAGAAAATACTGTACTGTACTTGTATTTATTGTTTACTTGAGAATACAACAGAGAATAAACTGCCCAAATACCCTTAAACAAAGGAAAAGTATGTCCTTTATGAAGGCATAGAGCCTTTACTACATGAAAATGAAAATTAATGAATACACTGTGTACAGTAATTTACCTGATAAGACAGACCTCAGAAAAATACTTTATGAGAGCTTTTATACTTTTATAAAGCTGTCTATAATGAAAATTAATTAACTAAGGATTTTTTTGCCCTGCCAGGGTGTGGCCGAGTTATCCGAAGTGCCGGGTTATCGAGAGCCAAGTTTTCGAGGTTCTACTGTACAAATAAAGTAAGTGAAGTGTACACTTAGTAGATCCCTAAATCAAATGATTCGATATATATCAATATATTCTATATTTTCAATTCATATATAGTTTGAATAATATATCTGTTTCGTACATGTATATTGGATATGGCTCTGTATTATTTCCTGATTATTTGATGATCTGTGCAAAATGGGCATTAATTAAGAACTTTTTTTTAACGATGATCTCATCTACAAAAAAATAATAATCATCATAAACAAATTATAGATTTGTCGCGATGATTATTCCTGAGAGTAATAAACAGTAAGGAAAGTAAAATAAAAAATAAAAACACGAAACAATTACTTTATTTAATTAAAAATTCCTTTTATAGACACGCGAAAAGATAAAATGTATAAAGAAATATCTCAAGTTAAAAATATTCTTTTTAATGCCAGGATGTTTTCTATATTTTTCTCAGAAAAACGATAAGCAAATTCATCTCAAACTTTATTACTTATTTAAAGATTATAATTCATAATTTTCAGTAGATATAACTTTATGAAAAGTTCATTCAAAGTAGAGAGTTTATATTATCACTGATTATAATGGAGAGAACATCGTGACTTTACTTTAAAGTAATAATAAAACTTGTTTAAAGATTACTTTCATTTTAAGATAAATTTTTATTTATCGCTTTCTAAGAAAAATACAGGAAATATCCTGACGTTAAAAGAGATAATTTTTTTTTTTTTTTCTGTATGCATGGATGTGTGGGGCGCGATTTTGTTCATCTATTTTGAAGCTTAATAACTCTTGTGCCCTTTGTCGAAAACTTTTTTGAAATTTTGCAGTGAGATTTGTGTATTGGGGAAATGTTTCTATAAAATTAAAGGAAAATCGGATCATTCGTTCGGGAGATATTAATGGTGGAACCATATCTTCCGAATCAATCTGAAGATTAAAAGGCAATGGTAGCAATTTTTTGAGACGAAAACAAAGCGACATATTCGCATTAAAGAATCATCACATCATTAATTCAATTTTCATACCTTTAAAATTATGTTTACAGTTACTGAAACTTTGAAATTATCCAACTAATGAAACATAATCGGAAACGTAGATTTGCTTTTTTTTTTTTTCCTTTTTAATGTCAAATGTTATCAAATGCTTTTTTTTTTCTTAAATCAATGCGACATTTAACACAACGGAAATTAACTTTGATTACGTTTAACTAACCTTTAAAATTATATATTTTTGATTTAAAATTAATCTAATTAAAATAAATTGATAGTTAATAAACAAAATTCATAAATATATTTTCGAAGTACATCATACAAATAATACAAATGTGATACGTTGTTAACATAACGTAAAAATTCACAACATTTCTATGTATATAAATCTATAGAAAAATATATTTTTATGTTATTTAAATGCATTTTTTTAAAAAAATACAGTTACATAGATTGATTTACACAAGTTCAACATATATTTTAATTAATTTATAACGTTAGAATTATACTTTAAATCATGCACCCTGAAACGAATACATTACAGATATGGATATATATACATTGTTATTAGGTAAGTAGCTAAGTACAGTACGTCCTTAAATAATATAACAGTGAATAATTAATTCACAATTTAATAGATAAGGGTATTAATTATATATTTAGATTATTCACTTTCTTTACTAAATAATCCTTTTATTTTATATAAATGCATCGTTTAATGATAAGTCAACTCGTAGATAAAGCGCATTGGTGCCTTTTTTGTTCAATTAATTACAAAAAAAGAAAAGAACAAGGGAGCTTAAGCAAGTGACATAATATAACTACGTTTAATGTAACAAGACTTACCTTTTATTTTGTTCTTAGCATTCGAATTCGCTAGATAAAGTAGTAAATAAAAGATCGGTATTAATCGAAGGCACGCCATTCGGTTACCTTAAAGTAAATATCACAGTTGAATTTAAAAAAAAAAAAAAAATGTTTTCAAGGCATCGACTAGAGACAAACAGTCAATGACGTCAACATTTCCGTCTGTGTTCCGGCTTCAATTCTTGTTAAGAGTTTGATACGTAGCCACAAAGTTTCTAAATAAGATTTCCTCGATAGTTTTATATTATTTAAATATTAAATCGAATAAATATATTTAATTAAAATAATCGAATAATTATAGTATTGATATTATAAAGAATATTAAAAAAATATAAATTTTTTTTTTCTTTAAGTTTTTATATAAATTGAATAGAATTTATGATCCTTTGTGAGCTCTTCGATGAAAAAAATTAATATAAATTTTGTATTAGATTAATGGAAGAAAACTAAACCCGTGTGAAAAATAGGGTGTAAAACTGATCTAAATCCATAATAAAAAACTCAATGTAAACTGACAACAATCAGAAATTGGATTAATTAAACAGAGTTTTGCTTATGCTTCACATAATGAAATCATACTAATATCCTTGATGCATTGCAGTACCTTTATACGAGGAGTATTTTAGAAAAATTCTACTGCGATTATTAGGGACATGTAAATAGTACGGAAATTCCGCTCAATACGTAAATTTTCCAAACATAAGAATAAAACGCTAATTAAAAATGTGATCTTCACAAATCATGTGGCAACATACGAAGTCGATGACCTTATGAAAGAGAAAGAGCCTACATTATGCAATCTATTCTACAGTAATTGGTAGAGCACTGAGACAATGTCTTGTAGTCCAGAACACTACTTTAAAATGATGTTACGTTATAGGGAAACGAGACGAAATGCACGAGAAGCAAGTACAGTACATAAATTCCACAAGTTCTTTCCAACTGCACGAAGACCGATATGTATTAAGTCTACAGCTAACTGTTTTTGTGTTAATTTATGTATTGTTGGCTGTTATTCTTTACAGTCAAATATGATTTGTACATTATGTTACATCTACAAAATGTGAAAAAAGTTATATAAATTATTAGTCAAAGGGTTGGGTGCAACTGGCTAAACATAGAATGAACAGGCAGAAAAGTTAGAGGAAGCGGATGAGGAAGGATAAACATTTATATATAAATTATGGTTAAACGACTTTGATATATCTAAAGAAATAAGTAAAAATAACTTATTTTGTGAATTGAAATTATCATATTATTTCATCCCCGTCGGATGATGATTCATTTCTTGTGTAAAGTTGCACAAGGCTAGTTTTTACTCTTAGATAGCCTACATAAAATTGTATTTTAACGTAATTTTATTTTGTTTTTTAAATTTTGCCAATATTTTATTGAAAAACTAGTATTTATCGACGTAAAATTACTATTATTTAAACGATAACTAGATAGAGAAACCGAGGCAGAACGGAACACTTAAGGTTTTAAGCGTTGTAAAATACACTGATGTGCAAAACTTAAGAAACGATTGCTTTTTACCGTAACTTTGCATGAAATCTCCTGGGATACATGAAATTCAGAATACAGAGACAGTATTCTGTAATTAAATGATACTAATTCAAAAATGAATAGAACGCATACAGTATAGAATCAAAGCCTGTTTATTGCAGTCTTTCACTGGACGTGCTGACTGCACACGTTTTGCATGCCCCCATTTCACCCGTGATGTTTTCTTCTTGTATACAAGTCACCTTTCTAGTGAATTGGATGTTCATTGTACTGATCGCAACAAGCCCTTTTCTACGATTTCATGGTTGTCTGCTTAAAAATTACATCGTTGCTTAAGTTCTGCACACCAGTGTAGTAAAGGAAACACACATACAAAATTTACTGATGAGAATAGCATCTTTAGCGTCATTGTCTAATCCAGCACACGAATTATTGGCCTATTTAAAGCAGTTCTGGCAAATAATCAATTTTTCAACAGAACGAAATCGAGCTCAGTTCTTCCCCGTACGCAAGTTTTGTTTGAATGTTGTTAGTTTATATTATAAATTAAAGAATTACAATATACGTAGTGTACACGAATCTACAGTTCAAAGGACAATAATGCTATCAGTGCTTGTGCCGCATACTCTGGATGAAAATTAGCCTAAGAGAGCTTATAATGAGTGGCCATATAAAGCAGGAATGGCCAACTTTTGTGTACATAAGATCTACTTTTTATCTTAAAAATGTGTCGCGATCGACTCGTTGTCGTAGGCATAATCTAAGTCAGCGATGGGCATTCCGCGGCCCGAATCGCATAAAATGTGTATAAATATATCAATTTCCTAGCTTAAAGTGGGCCCCTTTATCCGATTTTTTTAAACAAATAAATTACGTAGAATGTTTCTTTATTAATAAAAACAGACTCAAATATTTTATTTTTTGTTCGTAAAAATAACATTAACTTATAGTATGCAGCAAAAATTCAAACGTTATTTTCTACAACTTATGTGTGTGAATAGTTTTTCCTGCAATGAATTTAGTAAAAATTAAAACGAGAAACCGGCTAACAGACTCACCTCGAAACTAATTTAAAACTAGCAGTGACTAATATTTAATCAAATATTTTTGATACATTACGTTTACATCAGTTCTAGAAGCTAAATTAAGTATACCTATTCTATTTTATAATTATATATGAATAAATAATTGTGATTTACCGGCATTTTCCCCCCTCTTTTATCTTGTATGTGGCCGGCGTTAGTTCAAAAGTTTTGAAATGCGGCCCTTACACAGAAAAAGGTTGCCCATCCCTGGTCTAAGTGGCGAGGGGGAGGGAGGTGTGAAATACATACTAAGTTTAGATAGAAAAGAAAAGCCACAATTTAATTTAAAACACGAAGAAAAGGTACTTACATTTTAAACAGAAGAAAAATTGAAACTCAACGTTGTCACTTTCGGGGACCACCACTTCACCCTTCTTCTCTCTACCGTGTCCCGACCTACTCTCTCTGTCCCTTCTTTTTTTCGGTTTTACGACCCTTTGTCTACATTTCTTATTCCCCTTTTACAACTGTACGCAAATGGATTGCACATGGACCGACAAAACCGCATCTGAGGGAGAACGAGGAGGTCCGATATCACTACAGTTGCGTTTGTGCGTTACGTTCACGCGTTGCGTTCGGTTACAACTTACAAGTGTAACACATTAAGTCAAGACATCGCAAGCGATCGACCAAAATTGGTTTTGCGATCGACCGGTCGATCGCGATCGACTTGTTGGCCACCCCTGATATAAAGAACGTTTTTCTATTGACAGGTGTGGTCTAATCACAAAATATCGTATGATAATTCGTTTATAATTAGCGATTATGGCATGAATGGAAGTTTGACCCACTCGCGCCTCTCGTGTGCCAATTTCATGAATGCCACGTGGAATCGCCTATATTATAAACTAATTGCATACTGTACTATTAATTATACAATATTTATCATAAGCCACTTATAACAAATTATTATTTTAGTTTAATAAATAACAATAATAATATATAAATATGATGTGTATTGTGCATGAATTAATTATTCTTTTGCTTATAAATAATGATAATGATTAAAGCTAAATATAATTTTTTTTAACTCTTTCAGCCCTGTGAGTACTAAAAGGGGTTATTTTAGCTAATCCTGTTGTGGGTCCAACAAATTCAAACGGACAACCATCCGAAAGATTCTTAGGGTTTACGATCCATCTGGACTCGTTCTCGGGTCTTCTGCAGCCGTAGGTGTCACCTTAAGTAATAGGAATTCCTATTTGAACGTTCCAAAACACAAGATAACGTTAGAAAAAATGGATTCACTTGACATCTGTAAATTTCATTTTAATAATTTTATTTATTAGAAAATAGAAAAATTTTAATTTTTAAACTGAAATAATTCAACTCGATTAATGTTATGACGTAACGCGTCACGTATTTATTGAAAGTAAGCAATTTTTAAAACGCATTGCAGGATGATTCCATTGTTGGCGTCGTTTTGTTGGAGGAAACAATACGGTATCGCGAAGAGAATACGAAGAATTGTTAACGTTAAACAAATGTTATTAAAGTGCGAGTTAGGACGAATGAAGCTGCACAAGTGATGTTAATCACTGAGAGTTGCATTCTTTCCAACTCTCAGTGGAACTCTGACGCAGCCACCTCCTCGTGGTGAGTTCTAAGTTGCCATTCGTTCGGAAATAACGAAGGACAAGCGAAGAGTTGCGTATTTTCGTTTATTTTATTATTATAAGAAGGGATGAAAATAAGTCAATACACGTAGGAATAAAAAAAGTAAATAGCAGTTATTTATTGTGACAACGTCACAATGTCTTGTCTCTGTACATCATCGTTTTTCTGTTAACAATAGAATTAAATTGAATGTAATTCAACCCTCTTCCACAACACTCCATTCTTCATAGCGGACCCATCGGTATGGTGGCATTAGAATAGAAAAATCCAAAATACGAGGATACCAGCATGCACAAAATATGATTTAATAAATGATTTTTGAGGGTGCAGAGTTTAAATATTTGGTCCGTTTTTCGTAAAATTTAATTCGTTGTCAGATGGCTATTTGATATTCGGCACTGAGTCGAATAGTTTCTTAGAGGTAACATTCGTAGGAATCAAATACTATCTATAATATAATCGAGACGGGTTGATAATAATGATAATAATAATAAGTGCAGAGCCCAAACGGTTAGGAGTTGAAAGCTGAAATTTGGTACACAGATAGGGTACGTCACGAAAACGCACACTAAGAAGGGATTTTTCGAAATTCCCCCCGGGGGGGAGAAAGACAGGATTAAGTCTTAACACTTCCATCAACAATGGAAGTGTTAAGTAACAATGGCGGTGTTAGGTAACAATGGAAGTGCTAAGTAACAATGGAAGTGTTAAGTAACAATGGAAGTTTTAAGTAACAATAAAAGTTTTAAGTAACAATGGAAGTGTCAACAATGGAAATGTTACGTAACAATGGAATTGTTAAGAGAAAGCGACGTGCAAGACGCAGATGCAGTTTTTTTCGTTTTTGCGGGAAATCGAACATATTTTTAGACCCATCTAAAAATTCTCTAATTAGTCTGGAAACAAGGGGACCCAATTCTTGCATTCTGT